TGAATGTTTTCCAACATTCAACTCCTGCACAAAGTTCGTGAGCCCACCTTCCACACTTGATACACTTAATTCACGATTCAACGTTTTTATCGTTACTATAAAGTTCTTGGCAAAAAATACATTCTTCGTCATAACTTGATTCTTCATTATCTGTATCAAAACATATGGAACTTCATCATCTTCCGATTCTTCAGAAGACAAAATTAATTTGCGTCTAAAATTTTTTCCACGCAGTTTTTTATTTTTTATGTTATTTTCTTTTAATAGATTATTATGCTTTCTTTTTTCTAATCGTTCTTTTTTTTTTTGTTCATTCAAGATTTTCTGTTGTTCTTTCATTTCTAATATGGATTTTACTGGTGAGCTTGTTATCTCTAAAGTTAACATTTTGGCCCTAGGTTTGCGTTTGGAAACAGGTCTCACTGCCACTGGTAAAGCTGGTAGTTTTGCTGGCTGAATGTGTTCAATTGTCCGACTTGGTCCAGGTATAGGTTGCTCTTCATTCATCGGCCTAGGTATAGGGTGCTCTTCATTTATTCGTCCAGGGATAGGCTGATCTTTATTTATTGATGCAGGTATAGGCTGMTCTTCAACAGTCAATGGTCTTTCTGTAACTTCAGCAGAAGCAAAATCATGATCCAAAAAAATATTTGGATTAAAGGGTTCTATACCACAAGCACTGAAACCTTTTATGGCATTTCCTACAGTAGCAGTTCTATTATATGATTCACTAAATAGTTTTYCGATATCACGATCATTTATTGCACGTCCCGGGTTATTTACCATAAATGTATCACAAGCTTGACTATAATACGTCTTCAGAGGCCCGAAAACTGCAACGTCTAGTGGCTGTAACCTATGTGTGGTATGGGGAGGAAATCCAAGCATTGTTATATTATGTTCASGACAAAAATGAATGGCTTGTAGAGAAACATGTGAAACGTGGTTATCCAGAATTAATAATATAGGATTTTCAGGAGTTGCTTTTACATGTTTACAAAGATGCTCAAGGTAAAACAAAAAACTGTCAGAAGTCATCCAACCATTATCATAGCCACTGAACCAGGAGGTGCTCCTTCTATTAATTGTTTAATGCAAAAGTAATTTAAATAAAAATAATACGATTGACTGTGCACTGCAATTAGAAATTAATAATGAAAAGGAAAAATGGAAACATATTTTGAAAGTTGTGATTGACTGTGTTAGATTTTGTTGCGTAAACAATTTAGCTTTGAGAGGATCTAATTGTGATATAGGAAAACCTGGCTGTGGAATATTCTTAAATTTAATTGGTCTAATTAGCAATTATGATTCTGTTTTATCAAGTTACTTAAAACATAAGGGGCAAATCACATATTTATCAAATAAAATCCAAAATGAATTTATAAATTTACTCGGTTCAAAAGTACGAAATGAAATCATTCAGAGGATAAAAAATTCAAAATACTTTTCTATTATTTTTGATTCCACCCCGGATGTTTCTCGTGAAGATCAACTTTGTGAAATTATAAGATATGTTAGAGAAGTTAATAACGAGTTTGTCATTGAAGAAAGTTTCGTGGATTTTATTTATATCAATGAAAAGACTGGACTTGGAATAGCTTCTGATGTATTACAAAAGTTGGAGAAAGATGGACTTAGTTTTAAGAATTGTCGTGGACAGGGCTATGATAACGGCGCAAACATGGCGGGAAAATATCAAGGTGTACAAGCTCGATTAAAAGAGATTAATGAACATGCTCAGTTTGTCCCTTGTGCTGCACACAGCCTTAATTTAATCGGCGTACATGCTGATAGTGTATCAGTAAAAATGATTTCGTTTTTCGGTATTGTACAAAATATATTTAACTATTTTTCTGGATCAACAAGTCGCTGRGAATTACTAATGCGGTGTTTGAAAATAACATTAAAAACGCACAGTGACACATGCTGGGCATCTAAATATAATGCAGTTCATTCGTTGTATTGTCAATTTGGCGGTGTGATAAAAGCTTTACGTGACATATCCACCAATCCAATTTTTGGCGATGGGGTTGCTAATGCACAAAGTATATTGAAAYATTTTGATTTGGAATTTGTTTATTTTTTTAGTCATGTGGGATAAAATATTGAATCAAATATATCGTGTAAATAAATTATTACAAAGCTCAAATATTTCAATAGATCAGGCTTCAAAAATGATAAATTGTTTAAATGTTTCTCTCCAAGAAATGCGTGATAGTGGAAATGAACAAATTAAAACTGAAGCTATTAGTATTTGTGATAAAGTTGGAATAAAATCTGAATTAAAAATCAAAAGGACAATAAAAAGGAAAGTTATGAGTGGAGAAAATTCATCGGGTGAAGATATTTCTGCAGATCAATTYTTAACATTGGAATACTACAAAGTTCTTGATAATATGATGGCTCAAATGAAAT